CTGGCTTCTCTGGTAGCTGCTCTCCCTCCACACACCCTCTCCCTGCCACTGTGGGTGAGTGCCTGCCGCTCACCCGCCCACACACAGATCCCACCCTGAGCTCAGCCATCAGCTTCCTGCCTTCCAGGGACTGCGGGGCCCCAGGCCTCTCATTCGCAGGCCTCTGCTGGGTGGTAGGGCCGGCGGGGGTCAGTTTGAGCAGAAGACAGGGCCCTGCACATCAGCGGCCAAACGTGGACCTTGACAGAAGGCGAGCCCAGTGGGCAATCCCCACATGAACACACAGCAGCGGGCACAGATCTTGCCTTCTCCTGTTCCTGCAGAAAGCAGTGTGCCGGGACACTCAGTCCTCCGCTTCCTCCGCTTCCTGTTTTCTGATCAGGATGTAAAGAGCTTCTTCACTGTCATACAGCTGCAAAGTATCCCTGCATCGTTATTTTTAGTCTCTTTTAATATTGTGAAATTGCTACATTGTTTTTAACATTTTTAACAATCTCAGTGTGAAGGAAATTGATTTCTAAATGGATAAAATAAATGATAGGAACAATGTATTCCTTGCTCTTGCATTTTTCCAAGACGGGGACCCAGTACGGCCATGGGGGGATGTTAAAGCCAAGCCTTGAATCCCTCTGAGGGCACTGAGCTAGAGGTGGGTACAGGAGTGCCGTTGTGGGGAAAGGTCTCTGGAGAGGATGGTGCCTGGGCCCTGCCTCTGGAAATTGAAGATGGGCAGGAGGAGGAGCTTGAAGGACCATCTGAAGCTCTGCCAAGAGGAGCTAGACAGAGATCAGTCGCCCTCACAAGTGGGGGACAAGAGGGACCCCCTTGGAAGAGCAAGGGAAGGGAGACTCTCCAGGGTTATGGTGGTGGGGCTGAGGGTGTCTAACGACTAGGAAATTGAGCACAGAGGGTTGCAGGTGCAGAGCAGCGTGGAGGGGAGCTGGGAGGCCAGGGAGGGTACCTGAGTGAACCACATGTGAACAAGTTAATGAACAAGCTTCTGGACCAGGGTGTGTTTGCCTCTTGGGTTCTAGGGGTGCCTGGGAGCTGCAGGACCCATGGGAGCTGCTCCCCCTGGCCAGCCCACCCACCCACAGCTACCTCTGAATGCTGGATTCCGGGAAAGAAAAAGGGCTTGTACCTCAGTGCACATAATGGACAGCCTGCTCCGCCTGGCACTGAGGGGTCATCAGAATCAGAGAGCGTCAGGCACAGTGACTCATGCCTGTAATCCCAGCACTTTGGGAGGCTGAGGTGGGTGGAGCACCTGAGGTCAGGAGTTTGAGACCAGCCTGGCCAACATGGTGAACTCCTGTCTCTACTAAAAATACAAACATTAGCTGGGCATGATGATGCGAGCCTGTAATCCCAGCTACTTGGGAGGCTGAAGCAGGAGAATCACTGGAACCCGGGACGTGGAAGTTACAGTGAGTCAAGATCGCGCCATTGCACTCCAGCCTGGGTGACAGAGTAAGATTCTGTCTCAACAAAAGAAATAAATAAATAAAAATAAGCAGAGAGTAACCCCAGGGGAGGAGAGTCTGGACTCTGCTCTCAAAACAAGCCCCTCCCTCTGCCAGACTCGGGTTCAGTGAGACAGGAGTAGGCTGGCTGCAGGGAGGGTGGGAAGGAGCTCAGAGCAGGGAAAGTGTGGCAAGGGCCAGCACATCTGCAGCCCGCATCTGCCCCAAAAGGCCCTATTCTCCCGGCATGGACACCATACACGTGCCCCTCAGTCAGAAACATTTGCCCACCCTTCCTTATAGAAAAACTCTGCTCACCCCTCAGGCCCAGCCCCAAGGTGCCCTCCTCCCAACGCCTCCCTCATTCCAAACCCAATCTCACGGAAGGCTGCCTCCTGGAGACGGCAGTGCACGGGTCTGGATCTGACTCCAGCTGGTGTCAACACGGGGGAGGGGGTACAGAGTAGGAGCGCAGGCCCAGGACAGGGCCACACAGCCCCCCCAGGACAGCAGAGCCCATGGCCCCACCTGGGCATGATGCCAGCACAGACCCTGCCCGCCGAGCCCCACATGTCACCCAGGCAGGAGGGAGTGTGGATGGCTGGGCATCCCCTGTCCACAACCAGCACCAAGCTCTGAGCCCAAGGCTGCTGCTGCCAAAAAGAGCCATGTGACTCATGCAGGCCCCACCCTGGGAGGAGGCCCAGAGAGCCGCTGTGTCAGAGGGGCCAGCCCCATGAGCCAGCAGAGCAGGCAGGTCCAGGCCCCAAGGCACAGAGGTCTACAGGCAGGGAGCTGGGGTGACCGGGCTGCCCTTCAAGGGTACCTTGGGGTGTGGGCATGGCTCAGGGCCTGGAAAGGCGGTCGAGCCCAGGGGCACAGGTGCAGGCTCTAAAATGACCCATGGCAGCTGCCATCAGGACCAGCAGCCCTTAGCCCTGGCACTGGGGGACCACAGCAGTGCCCTGAAGGTCTTAGGGGTCATATTTTCACCCTGGAGCGTCTGAGAGGTCATGATGCTGCCCTGGGGGCTTGAGGGAGGCTGTGCGGTGCCTGGGTGGGATGAGGGGGTTGGCTTCACATACAGAGCCCGCCACGCCCACCTGCGACTGTGGGCAGTGCTGGGGAACCAGGTGTCTGCCACTGCGGGTCCCCCTTCACACCTGCGCGCCATCCCGGCGGGGGGGGCACCTTCTGTAGGGGCTGGACCAGACCCACTAGCCTTTCCGGGGTGGGACAGAGGGAACAGCCTCTCAGCTGCCAGCACTAAATTTAACTCAATCTTCGAATCAAATGCGCTCTGATTGTCCCCAGGTGATTCTCGCAATAAGCACTGGCCTGGGCTGGGCAGTTTGCACCAGGGCTGAAGAGGCGCTGGGCCCAGAGGTAGGCAACGTGCAAGGGCCTGGGCCCCTGCGGAGGGGAGGCGGCAGGTGGAGACCCCCCAGAGAACCCCAGTAGTGCCCTTCCTAGGAGCAGCTCCTGCAGCACTAGATTCAAGAGCCTGTAGTGGCAGCCAGGGCGGGGCGTGGGGGAGGTAGGGCGCCAGGGAAGCTGGGCACCAGGGAAGCTGGGCACCAGGGAAGCAGGGCACCAGGGATGCAGGGCACCAGGGATGCAGGGCACCAGGGAAGCGGGTCAATGGGTAGGTGGGGCTTGGGGGAGGAGGGGTGAAGGGGTGATGGGAGGCAGTGCAAGGAGGAGGTGGGGCACAGGAGAGGCGGGTCGACAGGGAGG